ACCTGGAGACTGTCTTCTCACGTGTATAAACTTTCCAGGCAACTCCATATGGAGCCAGGCTCCTCTGTGATTTATCTGTTGGACAGTGGGTGGCCAAGGGGCACCGTAGGCAAACAGTTATCCAGCTCAATAATTAGGGAGGGGAAAGGCAAACACAAACACACCCAGGTTGACATTCAAAACAAAGTGGAGATTGAACCACAGATTGCGCATTATACCACCCTAGTTCTTGTCTGCCTATCTGCAGCAGAAAACCAGGGGCCAAGAAAAGAAGCACTGTTAATAATTTATCAGTACAGCTGATGAAAAAGGCACTATGCTGGGTAGAAACCTGACAGTCTGAACTAGGGGCCCAGCTGTGTTGAGATGATAGCTTGATTTCCCTAAGTTTTTACTTGCCTTTGGTGCCCTCACTTATGAAAGAAGGAATTTGGACAAGTTCTTTACTAAGTACCTTCTACCTCTAAAAGCCTTTGACTCTCTATTTTGTTTGTTTGTTTGTTTCATTCACTCATTAATGCACATATTTATGGACCTATTCAATAAATTGTAAACCTCACTATAAATGAGTTATTGACAAGTCGACAATTGAAATACAGCACAGTTAGCCTATCATGATGGAAGAAATAGCACTTAGTATTGATCCTTCTCAATTCCTGGGAGGTCAGTGTTATTCCACCTTCTGTTTTCTAAGTAACAGATATATTGCTTTTCTTTCAAGGAAAAAAAAAAAAAATGCCAGAGGTTGTTTCCAGATATCCTTCAAAGAAATCAGATGTAGTCAAATACTCTTTCTTTTTTTTTTTTTTAAGATTTTATTTATTTATTTGACAGAATGAGAGAGAGAGATCACAAGTAGGCAGAGAGGCAGGCAGAGAGAGAGAAGAGGAAGCAGGCTCCTCGCTGAGCAGAGAGCCCAACGTGGGGCTTGATCCCAGGACCCCAAGATCACGACCTGAGCCGAAGGCAGAGGCTTTAACCCACTGAGCCACCCAGGAGCCCCTCAAATACTCTTTCTTAGTTGATTACTTAGCTTAGCATTTCTCTATTTTATCTTCTCCTTCGGAGACCCACCCTTGCCCCTTACCCACTCCATCCCACCCCCACTTCCACTGCTACTGTTTGGTTCCTTCTCCTTATTTTAATTCAACTCAACTCAACTGATCAAATTCAGTTCTCAATCATGGGCCTCTCTTAGCACAAGGAACCTTCATGATGCAAGGGTTAACTTCAAGGTGCTCCAGATCAATCCAGGAAGGAGGCCCTGGACATTTGGTACTATCAAGCGCCCCTCGGCTTTTCCAGGTTATCTGAAGGTCTAAACCTCTAAACAGGAGGTCCTTGCCATCCTTATCTCCCATTTTGTTGTCAGTATAAATGAACCCCGAAGATTTTAGTATAATCTACTGGTTGCTGTTACCAGGAAGCTGTAGATATTTTTATCTAAAGGGTCAATATTGTGATGAAAAAGCTTTGTCGGTGGAGTCTGAGATGTTAGTTAGCCTTCGATAGTGATGAATCATTGGGCCAGTATTTTTTTTTTTTAAAGATTTTATTCATTTATTTGAAAGAGAGAGATCACAAGCAGGCAGAGAGAGAGGAGGAAGCAGGCTCCCTGCTGAGCAGAGAGCCCGATGCGGGGCTCGATCCCAGGACCCTGAGATCATGACCTGAGCCGAAGGCAGCGGCTTAACCCACTGAGCCACCCAGGCGCCCTGGGCCAGTATTTTTAAACCTCTTGGAGCTTCAGTTGTCTCAACTATAAAATGGGGACAACAGCCCTGTCATGGCACTGTCCTGAGGGCAAAATCAGGTCTCAGGTATATGTACTTTCTTGGTATCAACATTCCCTTGGCTTCCCTAAGTTTGTCTATACTGAAAGTTGTGTATCCAGTGACCTTCCTTTCTAGCAGACCCCACTTTCATGGAAGATACCCACTGATCTCAGGAATCTAGGAGGAAAAGCCCATTGTTTCGGGTGGTTAGAAGTAGCTAAAGCTCTCACAGTTTTGAGTCTCCTCTGACCTCCAAGACAAAATCCAATATGCATATATTCACTTGTATAACATGAAGCCATAGGTTCATAGCCTTGAGTCTTCAGAAAAAGAATCCATAAGTCTCAATTAGAATCTGCCAGGAACGTGACAGTACCAGCGTGGACAGCTGTGACTTTAGTCTACGGAAGTCTACTGCCTGATGTCCACATACATTAAATCAAAAAAGAGCACCGTGCTACTTGTTTGGGTTTCCCAGATTATTACACTGTACAGCTTACTGGGGACAGTTATTTTACTCTCTTCCACCATAGAAATGACCAATTTGTGGCAAGAAAGATGGATGCATCCTACTGAGCAATCACTATTCGGACAGCTTCTAACAAAGCTGTAGAGTTAAAGCAGTCCTGCCTTAAGTTTTGTCCACCTCCAGGACCTCCAAGTTTCACCAGAGATGCAGGATGATGGCTTTTGTCAGTGGTCAATAGAGAGTGTGAAATAGACACTCTGACACCAACGTCCCCAGGAGAATAGGTCTGCAGTTGTTGTGGTGTGGGCGACACCCTCCCTGGCCGCTCTCTGGTTTCTTGTGTGCTCTGAGAACACACCCCGCAGAGTGCATTCATCACAATAGCCCATGTGTGACCTTTAGAAAAGTCCTTGAAAACAGTGAAACAGGAGTCTTAGTTGAAATCTGGAATCCATTCCAGTCTTACACAGGAAGAAAATTAGGCATAGAACAACAAAGCCCATAGTTCAGAGAAACCTGGGGAGGCTCTGGCTGACATTAAAATCATGGAAGATTTTTTTTTTTTCCTCCATTACTTTGTGTTTCGTAAAAGCTTTTCATCTGAGCAGCCCGAAGCTGCTAGAAAATACTGTCGGTTAGTAGAAGGCAACAACTGGCTTCTCCAGTGAATAAAGCAAGCAGAATGAGAATAGAAATGCTGAGTAATGTATTAAAAGCCAATTACTAAACATTTTTCCAGGCTACTAAGTAAATACTATTTCTCCAAAATGTGAATGGCCAATACCACCATTTTCCCCCTTGGAATAACGGACTGGCAATAACGGTGTCAGGGTTGGGAGCCCAGGACAGAGACAACAACTATGCTCCCTAAGCCTTAACTCCAAGATAGAGTTCATTAACCTGGACATCATGTATCTGGAAAGACACATTCATCCACCCAGAGCGTGAATCAGCAGAATTGTGTGCTTGCTCAGTAAATTTAACTGGGCAAACATCTGTGGGGAAACACGATTTTATAGGTACAGACCAATTTCCTTTTGTCTCCAGCTGATATTAGTCACAATAAGTGGCCATGTGATGTGTTTTTCTTTCATACGTATAAATAATTATAAACCTATACTCCCTTTGGAAGCATTCTCCTTCTTTGCCCGTGTGAAGAGAGGGGTAGGACATTTCCGAGTCAAGCGGTGGCAGATAATCCAGTAAAAATCAATTGGCAGGGAAATTTGGTTTGGAACTATGTGTAAGAATCCACCTAAGGTTTGTCTGGGAGGTCCCTCAAAAGGGATACAGACCCCGGACCAAACAAGATGATTCCGAAATAATCCAGCTGGGGGAGCGGCATTGGATGCTCAGACCCAGAACACTTATTCATACACATGAATAACTTAATTTTGTTTTTTTCTTAAGTACCTTCACAGTTCATTTTTTATTTTCCTTTAAAAAAAAAAAAAGAAGTAAATGGCATTACTCTGGTCTCTAAAACAGATGCCAGTTTGAACTTCACTCTGCCAGCAAGTATTTGGTTTGGCTCTGCAGGGCTTGAGTTGAAAAAATATTTGCCAATTCCAAAAAGATTTAACGAGCTTTGCTGAAGATGCCGGTGCCATCTGGCATGTCACAGGGACTGTGGCATAGCAAAGAGAACTCTCTTAACCACAGATTTTATTTGCCCAAGGTAGCCAACACTGGGGATTCAGGCGCTTGCTTCCTTGAATCAAGGAGCTGAAAGACAAATGAGTAAGATTTCCAAGAGAAAGTGACCAAAGCAGGCGTCCAAAAAACTTGCTGCCATTGAAAATGAAGTCACCTGGTTTTGGTGGCTGATTTTCAGAACTGTCAATAACATCCTCATACCAGCCACCAGACACGGTCCCCAACGCTGTCAGTCAGGAAACCAAATAAATCTCCGACTTACAGCAAAGCTACCCTGATCCAATATCAGATCTAAAAACTTTGATACAGTGTATTTTGTTGCCATCTGAGACCTTACTAATTGTGACGCCAGAATTTAACTATATGAAAACTGAACAACCCACTTAAAGTAACTCTCCTAAATACAGTCAGCAAATTTACTTTATATTGCAAAGATGGACACGCATTGCTTTTATTAATGCTCGATAGAACATAATGCATAAATCTTTCACCGTGATTGGAAAGACTGACCCTCCTGCACATAAATCTCAAATGTTAAAAGTCACCAAAAGTTGTCGCCTGAAATCATGTATTTCAGTAAGAGGTGCAATTACCCTGTGCAAAAACAAGGCTGTGATCCTTTGAATTAGTGTCACATCTGACAACTATAACAAAAAATAAAAAATATTCCCGTGCCAGTGTGTGCTTAAAAATACATGTCTGTTTTCACGGACATGCGGACAGCAAGAGTGACGGTGAAACTGTGACCACCTTGTAGAAGAGACACTCTGGATTGTTTTTGTTAATTTCACATTATGAGAAAACATGCACCTAACTGAGTGTATCCTACCTTAACTCCTATGGATCTCCCCAAACCCCTACATGTCCCTTCCACTGAGGCTGATCCAATCCTTATTACACGGTCATCTGATGCCAAGATTCAATAACAAATATCCTCAAAGAGAGAGCCAAGTTCCGTATTGCCTTTCCACGGAAAAGACCTACTCACTGAAACAATGACGGAGCTGTCTACCTGACTTAACTGAAATTTGGAAGTCAGAGTAGAGATCAAAAGAAAAACTCATGAAATTTAAAAAATGATGATTGTAACGGTTACTTACCATTTTGGCTTCTGAATGCATTGGCTGGACCTGGGGAGAAGCACAGGGGTTGCTCAGATTTGGACCTTGCATTCCCAGGAGGTTGGAGTTCACTGACATCTGTCTCTCCATCTAAGAGAAAGGAAAGCAACAGAATCAGAAGTCTAAAAAATGTGGTCTAGGTCCCAGACAAAGCTGCATTTCTCTTTCAAGTGGGTCATTTAGAATTTCTTTGAACAACTCCAGAGAAAGACTGTGGTTTGGGGAAGGGTACATAACACACTTCTGAGCCTTGAACTCCAGGACATCAAAGAATTAATCCAAAGCTGTGCCTGCTATAGGAGATGCACCATACCAACGAGAACCATGTTGTCATGGTACATTTACAAACAAAAGTATGGAATATTTCCACTTTTGCAAACACTCCAACTGCCACGAGTCATGCTTCTTTTTATAACTGTAAAAAATAATGTATGCATAAAAAAATGCTGCAAGGATATATACCAAATGGTTATCTCAGGTTATCCATGGCTTTTCTTCCCCCCTAAATTTTATATGAAAACATGAATCATTTCAGTAATAAGAAAAACATTAAATTAACTTAAAAGGTAATACTCTCAAATATGCTGGGTCTTCTTGCCACTGTAACTTATAAACACAATCTAGATGACCAAGAGCGGGGTGCCTGGGTGGCTCAGTTGGTTACGCGTCTGCCTTCACCTCAGGGCATGGTCTCAGGGTCCTAGGATCAAGCCCCACATCAGGCTCCCTGCCCAGTGGGAAGTCTTCTTCTCCCTCTTCCTCTCCCTCTGTGCTCTCCCTCCCTCTTTGTCTCTCTCTGTCAAATAAATAAATAAAATCTTAAAAAAAAAAAAAAAAAGAAAAAGATGACCAACAGGTATCTGAGCTGTTGCCCCTGGTTCACCTCCCCTTCCCTGTTAACCTAGTCATGACACTACATAGCAGCAGTTTTTGGCCTCACAGGCGAGGCCTTTGGGGGGTGAAGAAAGTAGCTGAGGGTACCATACCACACATGATGGACACTGCCCTACTGGCTTGCTTAGAACTAACATCATTTCAAATACCTGCATGAGTTCTGGCCTTTTTGTCTCCAGGGTATCCCTGTTAAAAAGGAAATATAGTAAAACCTCTCCTTCAGTCAAGGAAGGGTATGTCCGACTGATATTTTCTGTTGAGTAGAAATTGAGCATGTTTCAAAGAACTAGAAGAAAGCAAGTACACTTAATACTAAGTTCCACAGAAGACTTTCCTCAAGAGGAAAAAAATAAATTCTTCAATGCAAAAGTTCCCCTTGCCAAAGGATGGAAAGGAAAATGGCTCAGAAACTTGAGGGAATCCGGTTTCTGCTCAAAGTTAGCCCCGGGAGGCTGAGGAAATAAATACGGAGTTCTTTATCACTGGGGCTTTTCCCAGAGCGCAGGACAGAAAACTCACAGGCAAGAATGGAGAGTGAAAGCCAAGGTAAATGCCCCTTTAGGGTCCCTGCCACGGTCGGGTTCCAACCCTGCAATCCATGCTGGGTCCGCCCCAGGTGCGGGGCTGCAATTACAGCATTAATGTGCGGGTTAGCTGAGGTGCTCACGGAATGACTCGAGTGACGGGTGGACAATCCTTGTCACAGCAAATCACCCTTCGCCATCCCTTAGCCTGAAAGAGCATATCAGTTATCTGGCAGTGTATGCTTCAAAAGGAGCTATCTGATGAAGAATTTTCTATACATTCTAGAAAATGCCAGCAAAACCTTTCAGGGCCTCATCAATTCAGCAATATAAAATGTTCATTCCATATGCCCCCTGAGTCTCTAGGTAGTCTGGGTATTTTATTTTTTATTATTGTTTTTGTAATTCTGGTAAAATATGCATGTCATAAAATTTACCACTGTAACTAGGCTTCCATGTACAGTTCAGTGCTATTAAGTACGTCCGTGTACTGTTAAGTCACGAAGACTCCTCCACAGAATGCTTGTTGCTTATAATTCCCCCTTCCAGATGCTGGGAGATGGAAGAGCTGGGAAGGCATTTGACCCTTTATTCCAACTGGTAACCATCTCCCAGAGGGAGATCAAGTCCAAAGGAGATTTTGCTTTCAGTTTCCTGAAGGAAGGTCACTGAGAAGTACAAAGCTACGAGCTACAAAGAAGGGCGAGCAGCTTACTTGCAGCCTCAGGATCCAGGATCAGCCATGCTTCCCACTCTGTGGAAAAGTTACAGTCTGTGACTACTCCTACTCCATGACTCACAAATTCAACAGAATGTTGAAAACAGGCTGATTCCTCTACTTTAAAAAAAAAAATTGCATTTTTCCATCTTAGTGATGATAGGGGGTCAGCAAAATCCTCTGCAAGGCAACAATTAGGCTTTTACGCATAAGGTTCTGCCCCATGAGTATGCTTTGGTGAGGTGCTAGAACCAAGAAGTCAGAAAGATGAGAGTGGTTTTGCCAGACACTAAGAAACATCTAGCCCTGGTGGTAAAACATCCAGGTAAAGGATTTTTCACCTTTTTATGAGCTTCTCCTTTCCCTCTGAAACAAATCAGAAAACGGGAGCTACAGTCTCGACAGCCTCACTGGGCTTCTATGATTATACATGAGTGTTCATATTCCCAAATGATGTAAACACTGGACTTTCAAGATAGGAAACCACAGGACCGTGAACTCCTGCCTTGCTGCTCACCGGAACCCCAGCATCTCTCACAGTCCTTCGCTCCTAGCAGGCATTCAGCAGAAGTTTGTGGAATGAACAGATGCATTATTTGCTTCAGACCTAGGATTTTATGAACTGTGTGGCCTGGTAGCAGGCACTGCAAATCAGTTAAGAATATTAACTCGGCCTGCAGACAGACAGGCCTTTTCTACCAAGGGAATCATGGTTCCCTGAGGGCAGGAACTCTATAGGAAGACTATGCTTACAATGCCAAAATCTGAGCCCAGGAGCAGGGAGCTTGATAACAAGGAGGAAAGGACCTAGATTTCTGGGACCCGGAACTCTTAGGGTTTTGTTTTTTTTTTTTAAGAGATTTTGTGACAGTTATCATGAGTTACCTTTGTGTCACTCTAAGGTTTCTCAGCCTCAACGCTGTTGACATCTAGGGCCCAAATAATTAGTTTCTGGTGGGGGCTGTCCTGTGCATTGTAGAATGCTGAACAGCATCCCTGGCCTCTACCCACAGAGGCCAGTAGCAGCCTTCTCTCAGTGGTGACAACCAACAATAGCGTCTCCAGACAATGCCGAGCAATTGCCCCGAGTTGAGAATCGGTGCTCTAGACTGACACTATTGTCACGGCAGCTGGGCATATCGGTGACACGGGCTGGGGAAATCCTGTGGGGGGTGGCAACCCTGACTTTCTGTCTACATTGGCTCTTGATCGTGTACCTGATCCTTTCCTTCTATTCTGAAGCATTAACAGGAGGCCAAGTTGTACAGTGAGAGGATATGGCGGAAACCACTGCCAGATACTTACTCACTGCGCACTCTCTGCCCGCATCCCACCTTTGTCCTGGAAACAGTACAGTTTAGCCAAATGGAAAAAAAAAAAGGTCACTGAAGTAGTATTTTTCTGGCTGATGGATAGAATTTATGATAGGACACTAATTTGGGACAAGGGGGCTTTAGCGTCTGAAGGAAGATGCTTATGGTGGGAGTCTTTGTGCGCCTGGCTGGGCTGAATAAAACCTAGGCAAGTGGCATTGGTGGCGCTGTAGTAGCTCATCTGAAGATGTCTCAGGAGAGCAAGGCAGGGAAGTGTGTCAACTCAGCTGTTCCTTCCGGCCCAATTTTGCAAAGACTGTGTTCCTCGTCAGGACAACCCAATATTTACAGCAGCCAGGTCCATTTCTCTGAACTTGGGGCTCCCAGCCCTCATCCACCCCTGCCTCCGCTCAGATAAATCGGCACACTGCTCTCAAGCTTCGAGAACCTGAGCTGCTCAGCGTGAGTTGAGATGGGGGTTCGTCACAGCTGTCAGCTTTTCATCTGGAAAATGAGCATTTCGGTAATTACCACGATCCCATTCCCACAGGATCCCGATGAGAGCAACGTGAAGCGACAAATGTAGACGGTTCCTTAAAATGTGCACATGCTCTGCCAGGCATTGTTGATACTGTTTGGGAGGCTTTTCATGGAATTGTCATGTCATCTCTTAGGGCTTTTGAGAACAGCTGTGGCCCCAGGAATAAGCACACCAGCCAGGCTCCCCAAGACACAAGGCCAGGAAGGGGATCCTGTGGAAGGAGAGCAAGGTTTGCCCTGGGATACTCTGGATGTCCCTTCTAGGCTAACATGTTGTTTTCAGGGGTGGGGGGTATATTATGTAATGATCATAGACCCTGGAGTCATACCACCTGCATTTAAATCTTTAGGCTCCATCTTACTCAGCTTCCTGTGCCTCAGCTTCCTCATCTGTAAAATGGGGGTAATAACGGTATATCCCTCACAGGTTTGTTGTGACAGTGAAAGCAGAGAATATAGTGGTATCACACGGTGGTTGACCCAGTGGGCTCTGGCGCCAGGATTCCTGGGATCAGAACTCAGCTATGCTGCTTCTCAGCCAAGCAAGCTACTTGCCATCCTTTTCCCATTCAGACACCGGGGATAGAAATAGCACGTGCCTGACAGGGTTGTTTCAGGTGTTCATGAAGTGCCTATAAAGGGACTAGCACATGGTAAGCCCTTAATAAATGTTGTGAGCCTGAGTAACAGAACATGATACGCAGGGACACCTACCAGCAGATATTCTGTACCATCGTTATTATTTTTGTTATTATAATTGTTACTCTGAGTCCTGGCAAGATCACTCCCTGCTGAGTTAAGGACACTCGGTATAAAGCCCAAGCTATATAGATTTTGGGCTAGGCATAAAACACTGTGTCCTTGAACAAATTCTGTCCCCTGCGTGTGGCGAGCTCGCTTGTCACCAGCAGGAAGATGGGGCCAGGCCTCACTAAGGGAGCACTGGAGGGCGGAGGAGCCAGCAGGACTCCTAGGGACAGACAACCAGACCCTCTCCACAAAGTAGCACACAGCTCAGCTCTTCACCCAGAAGTCGCTGTCTTTCCAGCTTCGATCTCGGCTTCGCCTTTACTCCTTTCAAAAGAGCAAGGCTCAGTGGCAATGAGAAGCACTTACTGGCATCAAGACGGCAGAAGAACCCGGCATCGTCGGGTTGGGCAGGGTCCCGGGCATGGAGGCTGGCATGGGCTGCCTCTGTCTGTTGTGGAGATGTAGCAGAGAAGATAGAGAGCCTGGGACAGGCCTGGCAACACACAGAAAAAGCAGACATTATTCCTGATGCTTGGGGGCGAGGGATTCACTGCCTGCTTCCCCGTGTCCAGAACCAGCGGGGACAACACCATTACAAGAGCAACAGATCAGATCCTCTGATGGGAACCACATAATTGAGGATATTAGGGAAATAATAACAAATAAAACACAAGCCTGGCTTCCTCTGCTGCTTCCTAGTTAATACACCAAATTCCACTTCATTTCCTGACCTCTGTTATCTAACTCATGTTCAATAGTCAACAAGTCGGCATATCTCCTACAACTTCTGCTTCTTAGGGAAGGGACTTGGGGGTGAAATCCTGTGTTTACTCAGAATTCTCGGCCCTGTGGAGGATCTTAGACCCTGAGATCTGTGTACGTCATCTGGACTCTCCTATGCCTCTGCCTAGAAGCTCTTCTGGACACACTTTCACTGTCTGCATTGTAAAGCCAACTTGATCCATGAATTCCCAATAGGAATCTGTTTTGACTTTCTCGTAGTTCTCCACTGTGGGTGGAAACAAACAAACAAAATAACAACAACAACAACAAAAACAAAGCCAGGACACAGATCAAAGTAGCAGGAATGAGGTTCATGCCAGTGCAGCCAGCCTTTCTCAGGCAAGCCCAGAGCCCAGCCCCCGATTACCAATCCCTCATTTTATAATAACTGGAGGTGTTAGGCTGTTTGACAGAAACTGATTTTGGCCTGACCCACAGAACTTGGGTAAGCATTCCTCTGGGGAGTACATAGTTTGAGCTTTTGCTTCAATTTGCCAGAGGGGGAAAAAGAAATTTAGAACTTTAAATTGATTTAATGGGCCAGGGAATGTGTGGCTGAGGGAAAAAGGAAATTATTTGTGTTTATGAAAAATGGCAAATAAGTGACCTCCTCAGCTAAATTCTCAATCTCCCGATGCTTTTGCTCTGGGGAGCTGTATAAATGTCAAACCATTAAATTAAAGATTTAACAAATAAAACAAAACAAATAAACAAACACTCCCCACCACCACCACCGCAGAGACCTGAGTCTTCCATGTTAAACTACTTTATCCTGAATGCCATAAATGAAGCTACTGTTTCTAGAATTAATGCATTTTCTTAAAAAAAAAAAAATTAAAAAAAAAAAAAGATTTGTTCATGTTAAGTGCTGGGTAATGACTGGAGATGGAGATGTCCTGTGTGGCCCAGTGCCTTTCTCAGCTTCAGGGAAAGATAATCCCATTCAGAGTAGCATGAGAAGGCTCTCCATTGGACCTCAAATGCCTCCTGTGCCTGACTTGGGGAGAAGTGGGGATTGAAACAGGGAGATCATGCCAACAGGATCTTCTTTTGCATTGTTGCTGAAATCTCAAAGATTAGGTTTTCTACTCTTTTCGCCTAACAGCTCCTTTGAGTAGAGCTAGCTATTCCAGGCGCATGGATTTTAGAAGGATTAGTGACAAATTAGTCAATATTTCTATGTTCCAGAAGTTATATAAATGAAAATATAAAAGAATATAAAACCTTTACCCAGACTCCCTGCAGATGTACACAAATGACACCCAGCTTCATGACCAGAATGTGTGTATGAACAGTTAGTTACACGGAGAGGCCAACCAGAAGTAGCCTGGAGCAATAAAATGAGTGTTTTCAGAAAAGCAAATGCATGTTATAGGTATTTCTTGACATGTGCCCTGGGGCCCTCTGGAGTATAGATTAACAATAGAATTAGTAGGGTCTTTGAAGGTCCTTCACCTTTCAAAGCTGTAGGAAACTGCCAATTGTAGTTGCTCCAAAACTCTACAGTAGGTTGTACCTTCACTGGGTCTTAAAGCCTACCTCATTCAGAGGTGGATAGCTCCAGTCAGATAGGTATAAATGGTGGCTCTGTCAACAGACAAGGTTTGCCTTATATTCTCCAGTCTTTTTATTATTATTATTTTATTTTAAATATGTTTATTTATTGGATAGAAAGACAATGACAATAGTAACACAAGCAGGGGGAGTGGGAAAAGGAGAAGCAGGCTTCCCACCAAGCAGGGAGCCCGATGTGGGACTCGATCCCAGAAACCTGGGATCATGACCTGAGCTGAAGGCAGACGCTTAATGACTGAGCCACCCAGGTGCCCTATATTCTCCAGCCTTTATGTTTTGTTTGTGACCTTTGCTGGGAAAAAAATAGCTGTATATCAAAATATGTCATCTTTAATAATGGTCAGTTCCTGCAAGTGCAAGGTTAGTAATCTAAACTGCCCTGTTTTATAAGGAGAAAGATTCACTGAGACCATCTCTATAGATAGTTGTTAATCATCTATCCATCCACTCGTGTACAGATACCCAGACAGGGAGATGTACACACATACACCCATGCATACGTACAGATACATTTAAACGTACAGACATACAACCTTCTACCATATGTCTTTTCCCCTAGTCACCGGGAGGAATGTTTTGGGTATAGATAAGGACAAGCAAAAAAAAGACAACTGAAAACATTTTATAATGATGATTTGTCATATCATCCTCCTAAAGAAACGGCAGCATACTATCATCATTTACATTTTGTTTCCAACATGATATATTAATGCTAATCTTGGTGATCAGTTTCTATTGAGTCATTCTTAGAAAAGAAATCAATTAAACCATACTTATGTGAATGAAGATGCAAAAGTAATTAAACTCAAAATGACTTTTCATTCTTTACACAGCTAAGGAAAACTAGCTGGACAGAGTAGCTGGGAAATGGTACACTTACTTCCATACCATGCATAGATGTACCAGATTTTTAAATACCAAGCATTCCTTCATTAATTAAGAAAGCTTTCCAGGGTACTGAGTTCCCTTGGAATTATAATAATAATTGCCTAATGATAGCAATCAAACCAATTAACAATATATAGTTGAAAGAGAAATGGCTATTTGAGAACTCTGCATGTTTGGATTCTAAATAACTCTCAATTATTGTTTTACACAGATCTATATTTTATTTATTTATTTGTGAGAGAGAGAGAGCTCACACATGCATATATGTGCACATGCAGCAGGGAGGGGCACAGGAAGAGGGAGAAAGAATCTTAAGCAGGCCCCACACCCAGTGTGGAGCCCAACAGAGGGCTTGATCTCACGACCCTGAGATCATGACCTGAGCCAAAATCAAGAGTCAGACACCTAACCGACTGAGCCACCCAGGCACCCCTCCACAGATTCTATAAATAATTTTCCCAACCCTTGCTGGAAACAAAACTGAGGGGTTTTCTATGCTTCTTGCTTGGGCTTTTAAAACTACAAAAACTGACAGCAACGAAAAATCTACTTTTACCCATCACGGGGTATAGATTGAGGTAATTATGTAGCTTGGCCCAATAAATAATCATTTGCCCAGAATATCCTGATCACTGAAGCAAGAGTGGTATCAGAACAATTATATTAATTATCTAATTCCCTTTGTGTATATAGAAATAATTATTAACACATTGCACTTGCTTGAAACTTTTTATATTGCACTTATACAGTTTTATATTTTTCAAAATATTTTCACCTTCCTGTGACTTGAAACAATGCCATGTGGTGGGTAGGTCAGATTACCCCCATTTAACTCAGAGTAAGCTGAATTCAGAAACATTTAAATATGCCCAAGGTCATATGGGTCATGAAAAGAAGCAAGCCTCATATTCAGCTTGCAACATAGGGCTTCCCCCATCACACCTTGATGGCTCCCATAACTAAGCTATTATTGATTTTTTAGGCTAAAATAAATTCACGGTCTATTTCCTTTGATATCCACACTGCTCCCTGGACTGGGCAATGAAGTAGTAAAATTCTGCAGTATTGCTAACATGAGAAGTCACTCATCCATGTGAAATTATGCTTTCTTCCTTTAAAAAAAAAAAAAACAACAAAAAACTTCCCAAACAACACATCAGTTAGACTCTGAAAATAAGATGGCAAATCACAGCAAAGTTGTAAAAACAAAGACCCAACAGTCTTTCTCCAGTGCAGGCTTGTTGCCATGAGCTAATAATTCCAGACTTTGAGCAAGCCGAGCCTCCTTTTTAATAACCATGTGCCTCTAGGTAAAGTATTTCTACTAAAAATTATTGAGGCATGGAACAAGGTAAGATGTGTGAGCTCATGTTGGATTGTTCAATTACTAAACTGAGTCCTGTAGCATTAAGAGTTTTCCAACTTGACAGATTATTCCTCTTTATACACTTGTATAAACATACTGCTTACGGCTGAAATCTATGTAAGCTTTTCTTTCAATTAAAATGTCAAGGATGACAGACTGTGTTTTCAGTGTCCTTAACAGAATGAAAGGTACCACAGCAAGCGATTTCATGTCCTCATTTTTACCCCCAAAGGATGTTTTCCAGTCTAGGGGTGTCTGAAAAGCGAGCTCTGTGTCTGCCGCTCTTTGCGCTTGGACAAGCCCAACTATCTTTATGCAGCGAGGGTCCGGTGATTCTGTTTGGAAGTCTCAGGAGGGTCACTGCAGACTGTTCTCCTTGTCCAAGTCTTCAAAAGGTCCATGGCACCCAAGATTGCCTATTGAACTCAAGACAGATAAATCTACCGGGTGTGTGGTCAGGTAAAGAGAAGAAGCCAGCAGTGAAAAAAAAAATTAGGTTAAAGAATTAGAAGATCAAAGTTAGCATGAAAATCCAACCACAGACACCTGAGAAATGGTGAGCACGTAATAAATAACAACAGAAAGGAATCGACGGGACTTGGTGTGTTCAGAATAATACGAAAAGCTTCAAAGCAATAAGATGGAAAGAAGAGTGGGCAGGGAGCAATGGATCCAGATGTCGCTGCCATTAGAGTTTCTGACTCTAGGGGAGAGACTTTCTTCGCTTTGGGGCTCTCCATGTCATCATCTGTTTAATGAATGGATCAGACTACAGGCCATCTGGAAATGCCCTGAAGCTCTAAAATTCAGATTCTAGAACTTGAAAATCAGATGTTTTTAATCTCATGAGACATAGATGTTCGATGACGATTAGGGAGCTC